TAATCGCCAGGAACCAGCCGCACTCGAGCAGACGGACCGTCCGGCTACGAGTATTGGCACCGGCTAGGATTGTTTTGGGGCATATCTCCGCGCCAACTGCTCTTTCAAGAACGTGCAGTGAAGATCGTGCCAGAAAGCAGGTCATATCGAAAGATTCTGCCGCAGCGGCAGCTTGAGTGGCCAGCTCCGGAACCTGCCGCTTTGACAGCCACGGAATTACAGAGCGGCGTACAAGGTAACTGCGTTACCTCCTGATGAGTGCTACTACAGATATTATGTTGGCTCAGAGGGCTCACAGGTGTCTCGGAAGCTTTCAGCAAAGGTTGGTATGGAGGGCCAGACTTGCGTAAATAAAGGTGGACTCTGGATCGAATTTTTCGCTCTTCACCAAAGAGACATTCCGCCGCCTCCAGGAGTGCAATGGAGAGCTGATACTGACTGACTTCTCTTCAATAGAGGTTCATTATCCGCAGTGTCCAGTAGATGTTATGGGGTGCGGTAACGTGCACGTGGAGCACAAGTAGTTTCCAAGCCTGCTGAACGTACTGGTAGCAACGGGCACCCGCATCAACCAGCTGCGAGTTGACTGGCATCAACAACTGGGCAGTATCAGTTAAGGTGTCTCCCAGGTTGAAAAATGCACGGTCGACTCTGTGCTCTGAGTTTAGTGAGGTATTCGAGGAGCGTCTGGGTAACCTCTAGGGCTCACAAGTTGCTGTGCACCTTGACCCCAGCATTCAACCAGTGCAGCTCAAAGCACGAAGACTACCTTTCACAATTCAAACGAAACTGGAGGCGGAGCTGCAGCGCCTCGTTCAGCAGAGAGTACTGGAGCCTGTGACACAGGCAGCGTGGCAGTCACCCTCAGTGATTGTACTCAAGAGCAACGGTGACGTTAGAATATGCGGGGATTGCAAATCCACAATTAACAAGGCTCTGAAGCAGCACACGTATCCGATTCCGGTTGTGAGTCAGTCAATGTCCTTTTTATTTGGAGAGAAGTGGTTTGTGAAATCAGACCTTACACAAGCGTATCAACAGCTGCCCGTATATTACGCATCAGCGGATGGTTAGACTATTGCCACACATATATTGAGGGGAATATAAAGCGGCTGAAGTACGGGATAAGCAGCGTTCTCGGAATAATCGAAATAAAAATAAATGGGCTCCTCAAGAGCATCCCTGGAGTAGTTTCATACTTCGACAGCAAACTTATCACTGCTTCCATCACGCTTTTGCGAGGTACTTTAATGATGCAAGGATGCCGGCCTGCGGGTCAAGAAAAAACTTGCGTTATAAATATGCCGGAAGTCAGATTTCAGGGTTTTTGTGTAAGTGCTGCTGGTACACTTAGAGATAAGAGAGCTGCTGCTATCCACGAAGCACCACCTCCCAAGAATAAGCGAGAGCTACAAGCATTTTTAGGCCTGCTCAACTTTTATTGTGGTTTTTTTAAGGGTAAGGCCACTGTTGTCGAGCCCCTTCACAATCTTCTAGATACAAAGGCAGTGTGGACCTGGGAAACGAGGCAGCAAAAGGCATGTGATGCACCCAAAGGTCTCCTCTCTTTAGACACGGTCATGATATCTTATGACCCAACTAAGCCTATGATTTTAACATGTCACTCATGTACTGCGGACATTGAGGCAGTGCTTAGCCACAGACTGGAAGACTCGACTTCAGAGAGGGGCACATTGCATTTTGCTTACGCACACTATCAGAGCCTGCATTGATAACATCAAAGCATTGATAACATATGATGCATTGATAACATCAAAGTTATAATAGAACGGTCCCGAATAGATAATACGCTGACCTACTTCCACGCAGAATAAGCGCAAATGCATTGTTAACATCAAAGTTACGGTGGAATGGTCCCGAATAAATAACGTCACTAGAAAAGAACTCCACAAGCATAATTGGCATGAATACAGATGTGGAAGACCAGCATAAAACACAATTTCAACAATGCATGGGAAGAGCCAAAATCGAGCCAATCTTGGGAATCGAAAAGCATTAATCATGCGAATGGCTTATCAGAGAGACAGCATGGGTGTTCAGACTCACAGACGACACAAGAAGGGAAAATCACAAAGGGCCGTTGACAGGAAAAGAAGTAGCAAATGCAGAGAAATATTGGATAAGGCAGACCCAAATATCACTGAGACAAACAAAGGGTGAGGCCTATTAAACAATCATTCACTCGAAATCAATGAACACGAAGTTAACCTTGATGACGATCCAATCATCAGATAGAAGGAACGATCGCAGTGCAGCTAAGAACTCAACGAGCACGTTATAGTAATTCCAAACGACGGGCATTTCATGAAACTGCTAGTACTTGCACGTGCGTAAAATAGTATTGCACAAAGCAGTTCAAGTTACGCTAGCGCAACTTCAAACTAAGCTCTGGTTATTGCAGTGTAGACAAGCAGTGAAAAGTGTTCTGAACAGGTGTGTCGTCTGCGAAAGGCATAACTCCAGACCGGCGACTTAAAACATACATCCACTCCCAGCAGACACGGTCACCGAAGCAGAGCTATTCAAAGTTACGGGAGTTGACTTTACAGGACCTCTTTACGCGAAGCACAAGTACCAGAGTGTGAAGCAATATTTACTGACATTCACCTGCGCGGTAATGAGAGGAGTACACTTGGAGGTTAACAACGATTTGTCATCGTCAAGTTTTCTACAAGCATACTGGCGATTTACAGCTCGACGGTGAACGCCAGCAGTAATCTACTCGGATAACGCCAAAATATTTATAAAAGCAGATACGAAATTCAAGAAAATGCTCGAAATTACTAAACACGAGGTCTTAGAGAATGACTTCAGTGGCCAACAAATTCAGTGGAAAACGATCGCCGAGTGCGCGCCATGGTGAGGAGGATTTCACGAGCGCCTCATAAGAAGCCTGAAGACGTCGGTGCGAAAGATAATATCGAAAAGTACAGCTTCGGTAGAGGAGCTACGCAGTATTGTAGCAGGAGTTCAAGGAGCACTGAACAATCGACCGTTGACTTACGTGCATGGAGAACCTAATGAGCTGATGCCACTAACGCTGGCAGACATCATAGGAGGACGGCGACAGCTTCAAGACGGACAAAGAAGACTGTACAATGGTGACATTGAAGACGCATGGCGAAGCAGATGCAAACTCGTGCGAGCTTAGTGGAAAAGATGGCATCGAGAATACATCAAGGAAATAGGAGCTACGGCCAAAGCCAAGCAGTTGCAAGCAAAACCACTCTCAAAGGCTGACATGGTGTTTGTTGAGGACAAGGCTTCAAGAACATTTGGGAAAATGTGTTGGACTGAAATACTCCACCCTGGGCGAGACGGAATAACAAGAGCTTGTCTCCTTCGCACAGGCCAAAAAGAACTTTTAAGATTATCTGTAAACAACATATATTCAATCGAAGGTTGTTTCAAATGGCCCGCAAGAGCTATCCTATTTTACCTTGAGTGGGCGGGAGTCTATACAATATCATCATCCAACGCCAGAAGAAGAAGAAAGAAGACTGCTGTCAGGAGTGAGGGCGTGCTACTTACTTCTTCTAATAAACCATATTCGTTCAAAGCAGTCCCTGGTCTCGATCGTCTTAATTATGTATGAACACTATGTAGAACGCAGAGATGTTCTAAAACAAAACCGCATCACTCTTTCATTGAGATTTCAAAAAAAGCATACAAATGGCAAAAAAGTATGAGGAGTGTGCTCAACGATTGTAATAATACACCAAAGAAACGAAGATCTCAGTGAGTGGCAAACCTTGAGAATTGTAGACGGAGTGGTTGCTTTAAAGGCCCACCCGTCGCAAAGCACAACGGCATAATTAATCACCACTGTCAGCCACTGCATCAAGATTGCGCCGCTGCACAGATGCGCATCTTGCCTTACGAACGCGCAGTTGCTACTTCACCAATTAGCGAAATATATAAATATGGCGTTGTCGGCCAGTAAGCATTCCACATCACCTTGAGATGGCCATTCCAGTGGTGTCCACTGAGAAGCGATATTGGACTCGCGATGGAGAAGGCGATGCACTATTCATTAAGAAACTCACGTGTCCTCTAACTTTTTCCTATAAAGGTGAATTGGTGTTTGGAACATGGCTTCATATACAGCACCCAGAGTTGCTCTAGGAATCCCATGCACGTAAAATGTTCACAAATTCCTAGTCCAGGTCAGGCTTCGATCTTGCAATCACATCCTTTCAAACATTTCTCAGTCTATCTATGCTGCTTGAATGAAGGTATTGCGCATTGAAAACTTTTAGCCTTTTTAGATAGTCAAAATCAAAGTTGCTTGCTTGTATATATCATATATATTACTGACAAGTGCTTTACTAGTTCTGAGGTTGCCAGGGGGGCAAAATGTTCTTTCAGTATCAATATCACATTATTTACATACCTGAAGCTACGAAATCGTCCTTCTATTTCCCAAGGTAACACAAAATACTTGTGACGATTAAAGAGCAACTGAAATCGCCTCACCAACGAGTCATATAGCTTCAACGATAGAGCCATAAAACACATAATAAACATACAAATCAATTTAGCAGAATCTGCAAATACAGTGACACAGTTTTGAAAAGACGAGTATGTGGCTTTGCTTGGCACAGTAATATTTGCGCTATTGCAGATCAGTTACACGCATTAAAATAAAACTGACAAACCTTGCAAAAAAATTAGCTGTGTACCTACAATGATTAGATAGACGCAGTATCATTACCTGCGAAGACGTTAAATAGCGTGCTAAGGGCAGCAACTAATGATGTACATCAGTAAATGTTACATACAAATTGCTCAAATAATTTGTCTCTTCGAGACAGATTTTAATGGTATAAATGTAAACGTTTCTTCGTTATTACCACGTATATTTACGTCGCTGACATCTGTACGACGTATGTTTGCCTCGTTATCTTTTTGGATCTGAAGTGTATTATTCAGAATTGTGTGTGTTGTTCAGTATGTTTAAATCACTTCAAGACAGCTGATTGCGTGTGCATTATGACTAGACGGACACGTTTTATTGACCGTTTATTTTAATGTAGCAATGAACAGGCACCATAGTTGCTCATATAGCTTGCGCTTGTGCACTTGCAGCTTAAGCTGCACTTGATACTTCGGAAGGTGCCTTCTCCTCGCCTGAGTTCTGCGCGGCACCATTGTTGACGGTTGATGCAGCATCTTAGGAGGGAGCACCTGAGGTTGCATTCTCTGTTGCGTTGCTTTGTTCAGCGTCTGAGCCATCAGAAGGCACGTTGAGCTCTGAATCCTTGCCCGATGTGGAGATTTGTCCAATTAACCAGGGAGGAAGCTCGATGTCCCCTTGGAACCCTGCGTCTGAACTATTCCCGATAATCCCACCTACTGGTTGGATTACCGGCATTGGCGGCTCTGCCACCAGCGGGATTATCGCAGCCTCTGATGTTGTGCAAATTATGAAGTACGAGTACGGGATCTGGAAAAGAAAAAAACGCAAGGAAAAGGACTTCGTTGATCCTCCCATCGTAGAAGTTGGCAGAGCACGCAAGTTATCCCTGTCTTTGCAATAGTATAGCTGATTGTTTGTTGTCGATTGATGTATGAGTGTCTGCAGAGTGAGGCTTTTTGGCAGCTAAAGCGCTAGTTCACTAGGATGAGTCGATGACTTACGGCAGGATTATATTTAACTAAGCTTTGGGGGTACAAAGAGTAGGTGACATGCACGTGAACACTACATACGTTCAACACCGTATAAAAATGACATCGACCTGCAAAATAACGCGAAAAGAAGTACATGAAGAACCATCGCAGTAAGTTTGTGGAATACTTGGAGAGCATGCTAGGAAAAACTCCTCATTCATATGGGCGAGTTACTTTAGGCCGCAGCAAGTGACGGTTGTTAAAGGGGCTTTGCAACACTTCTTGAGCGTGGTCAAAATGAACGAAAAACGCTGTCGATTGGCAGTAGAGGCTTCCAAAAACACCCGAGCCAAATAGTATAGAACATAACGTGGCCTGTCATACGTAATAAATTGTCAGTCAGCTAAAAAATTGCTTTTTTTTCTCTGAAGAAATGACGGAGGAAGCTAAAAAATCACTCTCAGAAGGCCATCTATCAGCCGTTTGCTGATTTGAACATGGTGCGTTCAGTCGTTAGAGGGATCGCCGCGACAGGCCACGACTTCTCCACGCGTGCGAGTGTGATCGCAGTGAAAAAGTCACGTATTCGAAGAAAAAAGAAAAAGTGCTCGAGGTCACGAGGCGTGCATGATGCAATAATTTTTGCCCATGCCATCTCCTCTGCATAGCTTCCAGTGCTTTTGTCGGAACGAGAGGAGAGAGAATGCGATAGCGCCATGCAAAAAATCTTTGTAACTCCGCCCGTACTGAACAGACTCTTCAAAGTTTTGAGGCAATCGTGAGGCAATAAGCTTCTTTAGTGAATTCATTCCATGGTTAATTCAACATGTTTCAGGGCCCCTTTAAAAGACACCACTCAACCTGACCTGCTATGACTTGGTCGCATCCCACTAGCGTACACAAAGGTGCATCGTGCCAATTTTGGCCTCAATGCTTCACATTGGCACAATGCGGTTTGCGGTCATCATTTTAGGCGCTTGTTGGCAAAGCTTCTCATTCTCGGGGCATGTCCCTTGGTGCCCATGCTAGTTTTCCAGGCGAGCGCTTTTGGCACGCTTTTTTTTCTTCTCCAGGAGCTCAATGGCTGCTCAACTCCACACAGCTATTTATTATGAGCACCAGCTTGCTACGTCACTCCAATGCGGGCCCACTGCCAAGACGGCGCCGTGAGAGCTCGCGTCACTGAAGAAAGACGCCAGCGTCGGCAGCAATCGCAAGCCAGCACCAGCAATGATCCAGAGATGGTGGCAGCACCCAGGGCTGCCACAGCCAGAGCAATAGGGGCTTGTTGACAAGAGGATCACCAAGTGAGAGCCCACAAAGCAAATACGACACGCAAGCGGTGGCATGAAAACCATCAATTGGCGCGGGTGGGCGAAGCAATGGTCAAGATCTGAAGGTGCTTGCTACCACAGTTCGGTTGCGCCAATGCTAGCTTGAAGCTTGACTTCCTTGATCGCTCGTTCAGCCACTGCTGCAAGGTGTGCGACCACTTGTGGTTTGACAAGCTCACCACCATCGCCTTCTGTCTGCAACAACCGGTCATGCGCCACTGCCATCGCCGTGTTGCAACGAGAGTTTCTTCTCGTGCAATGCCTGCAGCGGAACGTGCCAATGACACTGTCTTCGACGTACACCTCAAGCACCGGCTTGTTAAAGGTTTGGATTTGAGCTAGTCAGCCGATTTCAAGTTCTCGCTGGTAACCACAATATATTTAAAAGTTTCACGATGTGGAGCTTGGTATCCTAATCTTTTTTCGCGTCTTCAGCTGAAAATAAAACCAAGCACGCTACTGACGCCTTTTATGGCGTAAATTGAGCTTCGCAGCCCACTGCACACGCAATTTCTCATGTATTGTTCGCCCTATGTTGAAGCTGAAAGCTTCGGCAACCTTGCACCAACAAAATCTATCGTTACAAACTTGCACCAACAAAATCTATCAGCAAAGAACCCCTGTATGAAAACTCCAGGAAAGTACGCTTCTGCTTAAGACGCGTAGCGGGGTGTTGCGTACAAGAGCCCTACAGGCTAAGTACGCGAAAAGCGTGGACACCAAATGTCCACTGTGTAACTGCACAGAAGAGACCATACATCACGTTGGGCTCGATTGCCCAGGTGCACATCCCAGTGCTCTAAACACCAGCGGACAAGTCGCAGAAAACCAAGGAAACTCAACGACTACGGGCAACGCCTCAAACGACGCTGAAAGAAGGCTCGCGATAGCGTTGGGTTTCCGGAACCAAGATGGGCACTCGCATTGGGAAGCGGTTGCTGCTACAAAAAGGCGTCTGGAGGGATGGTGGCAGGCAAGCGCTCTAAAGGGCCAGTAAACAGCTCTGAGGTCCAAAAAATTTTAGGAAAGAATATATGTGCAGTTTTTTCTTTGCGAACATGCTACCGCAAGAATTTCGCGAATACGTGCTATATTAAGGAAGTTACAGGGGTTAAAACATGGATTTTAGCTGGTTTCAAAATTTCCCGTGGCCTCACTTCCTTTCTCCCTTCCATGAAGGGGAACGCGTAGCCCATTGTCGTGACTCCACCCACTTCAGCAACGTGACACCACGTCAGCGATTGACGTCATCGGCAAATTTCATCAGTCGCAACACAATTCCGCTTGCTGCGAAGCGGGGCTATTTGTTTACCGTTTGCCCCGCTACGGGTCAACCTTGTAAGCATAAGGTGTGAAGTGTCGACCACAAACGATCAGATCCCCGACGTTCGTTACTGGATGGCAGATTTGCTTCAGCCATACAGCGCGCAGGGCCCCATCGTGAGCACCTGGCACCGATGCTTCTCCACTCCCCAGTCACTCGACTTGCAGCCGACGACAGGGCAATGCTTTTTACCCGTGTTGCTCATGTCAAGGGCAAAATACGTTCGTACGTGCGCACAGGCACTGTAGTTGAGCGAGGAGTGTATACGTGCACGCGACGACTGCGAGGCTGGTTCTTTCACCGCAGTGCCAAAAACAAGGGGCAGTTTTGTAGCTGTAGGAGGGAACCGGAACTGACGTTGACTTCACTACTGCTTTGTCACACCTGATTTAGACCAATCGGCGAGCTGCGTGCTACGTCACGTCCCCGATTGCCAAGTTGACGTCACTGCGTGCTCAAGGGGGTCGGTCAAGTGTAGGAAAGATGCGCGGGAATCGTTTTTTCAAAATATAGGCTCTACGCGGTGCACAGCGCTGTAATACTCAGAAAACGCGATCGCTGCTGTCTAATCTACGAAATGCCGAGCTTGTATAGGGGGTCTAAAAAACCTTGGAGCCTGTTTATTGGCTCTTTAAAGGTACAGCAGCAGCAAACACAGCAGAGACAGACATTTTAGTCATCCCATACAGAACTATACGTGCTGTTCTTTAGTATTATTATTTTTTATTATTATTTTTTGGCCATGATTCAGAAACACCGTTGATCGACCATCACAAAGGGAATTGAGAGCCGCAGAAATAATGATAATATTCATCATCATCATCATCATCGCTCTTCGGTTCTCACACGTGCAAGAAGTTGTGGGACAGAACGACGACCAAGCACGGCTGCCATGTTGTCACCAGTCATGATTTCGTTCTATCACTGCATCATGGCTGTCGCCGCTATGGTGTCGCCACGTGGCGGCGCCACCATAGCAGAAAGTCGTGAATTGATCGGGTAACAGCTGAAGGCACACGATTCTCCTCATCGAAAGTTAAGCGCGTGCAAAACACATCAGCCCCCCCCCCCCCCACCCACCCCTTTTTCGCAGGGTAAAATACGCGTAGCAGATATAAGCGCGCATCCGGATGAGCAGGGCGCTGAGCGCGGGCGGCTTTTTTAAGGGCAAAGTTTTTAAGCCGTGGGTCGCGCCTCCACGATGTATGTAGTAGTAGCTGTAGCGTTTTGTTTATCACTTGTATGTGATGAACAAAACGATGAAAAGATGCGAGTTAGTGGCACTTAGAGTGTTCAATAGATGAACGGATGGACGTACCGACGAACGCTTCGCCCCACTTATCATCATTCACACCATGATTATGCTGTGTTTTTTCTGTTTCATGAGCTTTCATATATATATATATATATATATATATATATATATATATATATATATATATATATATATATATATATTTGTATAGGAAAGAAGACGCACGTACGAAGTTATTTTATTGACGTTTCGGCCGTGGGTCCGGCCTTCATCAGAATACAGTTTATGGCACGAGTGTTGTTTATATACATGTGCATATCAGTAAGATACAAATGTGAAAACCGACATGAAAGGCTATATATGGGCATATATATATATATATATGCAAGTCACACAATATAAAGAGCACCTAATCTACGAGTAAAAAGATATTGCTTCCATGCGCGAGCACGTTGTTTACAAATAAAAGATGAAACGCATAAAAGATAAAGGACATAACATGAAGAGTAGTCCGACCAGTAAAAGCAAGAGAAAAAAAAGAAAAAAAAACTATAAAATACTAATAAAAATGACAAAGACGTTACAAAGCTGCTACGTAATCAACGGATACAGACAATGTAGTGCGACTTGCTGAGCAAGGTTGAAAAAAGTTGGACAGGGTGATACAAGTTACGCAGATAGGCAACTAAGTTTTCCTACGTTTTCATTCAGACCTGGGCCCGGATTCACAAAACTCACTTACGAAAACATTTTTGCGCAAGAGAAATTTTCTTGCGTAAGTCGATTCACGAAACGAAAAAACGTCGTAAGATGCCATAGTTGTCACATCGGCCGCTGCAAATAAAGCGCGCTGTGACTGCCCGGGAACATGTCAGCGATGGTGATGCAGTTGCTATATTTGCTTACGTCACCGAAAAGTGCTC